ATGAAAAAAGCAGTAGCCACAAAATAGTAACAACATAAGATATTAAGAAAATCGAAACCAAGATAACAATTAGACGATAGGTAGTAATAGTAATCTAACAATAAAACGATATCATATTAACACTAATGCTATCGAACTAAGGAAGACAAATGAAATGCTCGACTATCCAGGGACATGTCCATAGTAAGCTCTAGTTGCACCATATCCCTCTTAATCACCTCTCCCCGAGATTTTTTTGGCTTACCTTTATCCCCCCTCATACCTATTAAGGCCAACTTCTCACACCTCCTAATTGAGGCATCTGTGATTCTCTTCTTAACATGTCCGAACCATCTCAACCTCGCCTTCTACCTCCTATCCTCCACGAGGGCCACTCCTACCTTATCCCAAATAATTTCATTCCTAATCTTATCTAACTTAGTATACCTACACCTCCATCTCAACATTCTCATTTCAGCTACTTTCCTCTTCTGGACATGAAAGTTCTTAAGTGGCCAACACGCTACCTCGTATAACATAGTTGGTCTAACCATTACTTTGTAGAACTTATCTTTAAGTTTCAAGGGCACATTCTTATCACACAAGACACAGGAAGCGAGCCTCCACTTCATCCATCCTGCTCTAATACGATGTGTGACATCCTCATCGATCTCCTTATCACCTTATGTTACAGACCCAAGGTACTCATGAGGATGAGTTGTATATCAAGCCTTACAACTATGTCCGCTTCTTGGATAATGTTGTTGAACTTGCACTCTAATTATTTTGTTTTGGTCATGCTTAACTTAAAATTTTTAGACTCAAAAGTATGTCTTCAAACCTCTAGCCTCTCGTTAACACCACCTCGCATCTCGTTAATCAAAACAAAAAATAAAAAGATGGAATGTTCCTATTACCTATAAATAATCAACTCTCCTAATTTCCTTTTTCTTTCCAAAAAAGAAAAGATAGAATGTTTCCTTTTACTTTGCAAAATCAACCACGTTACTCTGCCAAATAGTAAATTGTCTTTTTAAAATAGTAAATTTTATCAGGTAGTCTTTTCTAGCATACAAATAAAACAAAATGAAATTTAAAAAAAAAAAAACAAAAAAAAGGTATTTAAATGAAGAATTTGATCAATCCAAAGACCATGTGAACGGTCAACGAATCAAGGCGGTAAAATAAATAAACTTACAGGCAGACAACTACCAAATGCTTTTTGTGGTTGATTTTTGAAGTTGCTAGATCTTTATTATTTAACAATTAAATACAGTAATTAATTTCGCTTCAAAAATTAGCTCATGAGTCATGAGATTAAGAGTGAAATTAGGTATTGGCAAATTATTCCAACAGTATTTTTGCCAAAACCTTATTTTGCACAATATTGAAAAACGAATATTTTTGTTATACATAAAAGTTTCTCTAGACACAAAAAAATATTCTAGTGTAGCAAAAAATGAAGTTCAAATATAATTTTTCGTCTAAGTTATTTTTTGGGGGGGAGGGGGGGGGAGGGTTAAACAAAGAACTTTATAGAAACTTTAATACAATTTTGATTTTACGTCTAAAATTCAATATGAGTATGATATTTGTAGTATTTTGCTAAATCAACTTATATGGTTTTCGATTTTTCATTGAGAAAAAATTGTTCAAGATTATCTATACTATATTAAAAGCACGAAGACATGAACAAGACTTTTCAAATAAATATGAGAGAGTGAATAATTATTAATATTAATTTGTATAATTTATCTCATACTATAATATTAATTACACCTCAATAATTTCAATAAGTAACTATAAAAATATAAGAGAGAGAGAGGTGTTGGGCTGTTGGCAATAGTTAAAGGAATTTTTACCTATGTATACCATATAGCAAACCTTATTACCACCCATGTTTAAGGTTTACATTTATTACATTTAAGCATATCATATTTCACTTTATGTACCATAATTCAAATTAAGCATATAATTATACTCTCATTTAATGTAGGCGTGTATTTAGGGATAGAATCTTTCCAAATATTCACTCTACCCGCTTCTCTCTCATCTAATTATACTCTCATTTAATGTAGGCATGTATTTAGGGATAAAGTCTTTCCAAATATTCACTTTACCCGCTTTTCTCTCATCCCCACAATTAATTTCATCCCCCACCCACGATTTACCCACTGTTAATTCCCCCCAACCCACGTTTCTTCTTCACTTTTTTTTTCTTCCATTTTCGTAGAGCAGAAACCCACGATCTTCCATCACGTTCATTCACTTCCCCCACGATTTTATTGTAATTTTATAGTTTTATTTGGCACTGTGAGTACATAGCAGCTATAATTGTAGTTGTATTGTAGTTGATTTGTAGTTATACTTAGTAAAATGTAGTTATAGATTTTTTTATTGCAACCTGTGTAACTACTACATTTAACTCCATTTTAAAATCAATTACACTACATTTTTGAAGGTTACATTATGTAACTGTTCCATTTAACCATTACATTGTTCTTCTTTGATCGTTCAAGTGTATTTTTGTTAAAAGTGGCCTGGCCCTAATTTTGCAACTTATTTATTTAATTGGAGCCATGCCTCTTAGACAGTTGATAAATGTAGTTTTTGTTGTAGTTGATTTGTAGTTAAATGTAGTTCTACTGTAGTAAAAGGTAGTTCTGTTGTAGTTAAATGTAGTTTATGTTATTGCCATGTAGTTAAATGAACTGGAACTTGTGATGCACTGAATAATTCTTCATTGCAGCAGCTATTGTTGGCTTGTCATGATACACTTGTCCTTCTTCAATACATGTTTTCTTAGATTGGGTTATTATTTCACTTTGATATTCCTCTATATATGGTAAGGATGGAATTTCTAGTAGCCTTAGTGATCCAGAAGAACCTGCAGAAAATAAAATCACAAATGTAGTAACTATGTAGGTAAATAAAAAAGCAACATCGAAATTACAGTTTCCAGCACTATACGAAAATTGTAGTTGAAGTGTAGTTAAATAAGAACACCATAACACTCTGCAATGTCGACTAAAACATATACAGTTTCCAGCACTATACGAAAATTGTAGTTGAAGTGTAGTTAATTGTAGTTAAATAAGAAAACCATAACACTCTGCAATGTCGACTGAAACATATACAGTTTCTAGCACTACACGAAAATTGTAGTTGAAGTGTAGCTAATTGTAGTTAAATTGTAGTTAAATAAGAACACCATAACACTCTGCAATGTCGACTGAAACATACCTGTACTGGTGCTTTCATTGGTGATTGCCAATTGCATATTGAAATCTCTAGACAATTGTTCTGCAATTGTAGATATGAGAATTGCGTAGCTCGCATTATCATCTACCAGGATTGCATCAACCTCGAAATCTCTGAACCTGTCATATTTATCGCAATTGTCATTCGATTTCAGCATTATTGTGACCTTCGTCATGATTTCGTGTAGTTTGAGAGGACAAAAAAATGGAAGAACAGATATAGAATCGAAGATGAAGAAGTCGACGAAGATCTGTATTAAAGAATTTTGAATTTTTTCAATTCGATGGATGGAGATTCTGTATTTTACTGATTTTCAGAATTGTAGTGAAGAGAGAACTCGTTCGTTGTAGAAGGAGAGATTCGCGGCAGCTACAAATTGATTTCTTTCATTTCAGAATCATAGAATAAATGCTGATCGTATCTCAGCATATATTGTGCCTACAACTTCGCGCGTTAAATTTGGGAAGAAGCACGCTGATTTCGTTTTGGTATAAATTTTGTAGTTAAAAGGTAAACAGGTCGGGTAATTAGTGAATCATAAATATTTTTGGTAATAAGGTTTGCTATATGGTATAGATAGAAAAAAATCTCATAGTTAAAAAACACGAATAACTTTGCAAATACAAATATCCAAAGTTAAATATTAGATTGATTTATTATTCTTGAAAAATAAAATTATAAATAAAATTATAACTATAGTCAAATATTTAAAACTTGTAATGAGTTAATATTATTAATATCAATCAACAAAAATTAAATCATTTCGTTTAATAAGAATAAATATTTAAATTTGAATTAATAAATTGAAACAATAAATCCCGTTTAATTTCTTTGCAAATTTATCATATAAGTAAACCCTTTTTTTTAGTTGACAAAACTTTTAGTCACAAAAATTAGATTTTTATAGGAATAGCATTTGTGGTGGAAGGAATAAAAATTAATGCAAAATCAATTATAATATAGTAATAAGTATCAACCGTAAAATTCTATAATACTCTTGAATAAATTTATACATATAATTTCATAGATGGAAAGTTAAAAACAAAGAGTAGATTAATTAAAATGTAGCGGTTAAATTTACTTTTTGTGATAGTAATTTATTTTTTTAATATGTTGAAAATAATAGTATTTCTTATATATTAAAGAAATAGAACAAATTACATTTTGCTCGTGAGCAAAAAGGAGGCGTCTTCTGTCAAATGAATGAGATGATTAAGAACTTATATGGGATAGAGTTTCTTTCTTTTTTTGAGTTAGCCAAATAGGATCAATAATTATCATTTTTAGAAACTTACAACTTTTAACTTTAGCTTTTATTTTATAACTAAAACCATAATAATATAAAATTTATGTAATTCTTTAAATATTATATTTATTGAGGTAGGGTAATGCACGCACAATCCGCGTACTTTAAGACTAGTTTTATATAAATATACAACAATTATTCTATCAACTAATCTAGAACCAATCTAGGATTCTATAGTTTTTGGTCAATTCTGGTATCTTATTTATGGTTTTGTTAATTCTTTTTACTTTTTTTCTTTTTTTGTTAATTATCATCAATTCCTTCCATTTTTATAATTCACGCAAAGATAGATGGATCATTTTAACCATTTTTCAAAAAAAAAAAAAAATATGACAAGCAATCATCATCATGATGTAAGCCTAAATCATCAAAATTACAAAAATCCCAAAAATAAGTAATATTTGACCCCACTTGAAACTTCTATTCTACACACCAAATCAGATGTTCGTCACCTATAAATAGCAGAGCAGATTCAAAAGACACATAACACAACATAAATTTACACAAAATATATTCAATTCATTTCAAACATCATCAAAATCCTCGAAAATCATGTCTAAATCCTCTGTTTTCAGTAGACCAAGATTGGTTGTCAATAAAATCTTGGCCAGAGCTCAGAACGAAGGTGATGGTGCTGTTGTTAGGAGAAGTATTGGAAGGTATTTTTTGAAATTTGTTTCCTTTTTCTTAATTCTTTTTTATAACTGAGAAATTTCGCCGAATCCGGGAAGGGCCAGACCATAAAAAGCTATTATACGCGATCTTATCCAGCGTTTCTCTGAGAGGCTGTTTTCACAGCTTGAACCCATGACCTCGTGGTCACATGGCCGCAACTTTACCAGTTACGCCAAGGCTCCTTTTCCGAGGACTTAGGGGTCGTTTGCTACGTGGACTAAATTATCTCGGGATTGTAATTCCTAGATTAATTTATCTAACTTGGGAGGTGGTATAAAATAAATCCTAGTACGATGGGATAAGATTGGATATCCAGTATTAAGTCTCGAATTAAATTTATACCATGTTTGTTTGATGATATAAATTTATCATAAGATAACCTCACACTTTATCCCGCGTACCAAACGAACCCTTACTGTATTGAAGTTAATTAAAATTCATGTCTATGATTTAATTACTATTAGCACTGGAAATGTTCTTAATCTATTTGAGTGCTGATTTTTCTTTTTATAATTGTTTGAAATTTTTGATTTTCAGGCCTGAATTGCAGAATCTTGATCCATTCCTCATGTTAATTGAGTTTAGTGGTAATGCTACTGGCTACAGCAGTAAAATTATTCTTTATTTTATTTTGATTATTCTACTTTGTGAAATGAATTTTATTTTTACTAATTAAAAACCTATATACTACTATGATTCTTGCAGTTTCACCACCTGCTGGATTTCCTGATCATCCACACAGAGGTTTTGAGACAGTAACTTACATGTTACAGGTAAACTTCAGTTTCGTTGCCCAATTCCAAACATTATACAGTAATAATTCATGTGACCAGGAGGTTACGGGCTCGAGCTTTGGAAACAACCTCTTACAGAAATGCAGAGTAAGGTTGCGTACGATAGACCCTTGTGGTCCGAATCCCACACATAGCGGGAGCTCATCAGTGCATCAGGCTGCCTTTTTATACAGTAGTAATATTTTGGAGCTAATTTTGTGCTTTCTGTATTAGGGAGGTTTTACTCATCAAGATTTTGCTGGTCACAAGGGTACAATCAGGACGGGCGATGTGCAGGTAATGTTTATTCTCGAGATTTACCTATAATTACCTTATACCTGACCTTGATGTGCTAAAAAAAATTTACACTATCAGTGCATGGAACCAATTAAACTTGGGCCGGGGGGGGGGGGGGGGGGGGGGCTTAGAGATATTGTGTAGGATAAACTTAAAATTCTTTCATAAAATTATAAGGGACCTTGGATGTTGTGAGGACTTAAATGACATTATCCCTAGTAATGAAAAAATAGGTGGAAGACCATTGAAAATATCTAGANGTCCAAGGACAAAATGTAAGTTAGTAATCATACATTAATTCAATCTTGACTTTGGCTTAAACAATTTTAAGTTTAAGAATAATATTTTTCATTTTAACATGTGCCTATAACATGCAATTTGATTAAAGAAGGGGAGCATTGACGTAACTGGTAAAGTTGCTGCCATATGACCGGGAGGTCACAAGTTCGGGCTGTGGAAATAGCTTCTTGCAACAATGCAGGATAAGGCTGTTTACATTAGACCCTTGTGGTCCGGCTTTCTCGGAATCACGTGCATATCGGGAGCTTAGCGCATCAAGCTATCCTTTATGCAATTTGATCAAGATTCGTAAAATTGTTGCAGAACTTAGGTTATACTGTGGTTCTAGACACAACAACTCGTCCTTATAAACAAAAATAATGGAATAGTAACTAAAGAAATCTCAAAATACATAGTGAAATGTACATTTGGTTGATGATTATGTCTACTTTTCTGAAATGAAAAGAATGACCATTTTGTCTATGTATAGGATTGAGCCAAGGTATCAAGAACTGCTACATGAGAACATACCAAAGGCAGAAAAAGATGGCGTTTCGGTCACTATCATAGCAGGGGAATCCATGGGCGTAAAATCTCAGGTTTTCACACGAACGCCTACAATGTACCTTGATTTCACCCTAAAACCAGCTTCTGAACATCATCAACCAATCCCCGACTCCTGGAATTCCTTCGTCTACATAATAGAAGGGGAAGGCGTCTTTGGCTCTTCGGATTCAACGCCTACACCAGCTCACCATTGCTTAGTTTTAGGCCCTGGAGAAGGTCTAAGTGTGTGGAATAAATCTTCTAAGCCATTGAGGTTTGTTTTGATAGGTGGACAGCCGATTAACGAGCCGGTCGCGCAATATGGTCCTTTTGTTATGAACACTAAGAATGAGATAATGCAGGCTTATCAAGATTATCAACTTGGGAAGAATGGATTTGAAAGGGCAAGGCACTGGAATTCTAAATAAGCATACAGAGCTACATTTTATAGTTCAAAAATAAGCTTACAAATTGCATTATTTAATAGTTTTCTGATAAATGTTGTGGATTTCAACTTTTTTATAGTCTTTTTTTTGCTTTTGAAATATGATGTGTTTTCAATTGAAGTTTAGGTTTTCATTTCCTTCATTTGTTCAAGAGTGCATTGATAGTAATTCTTGTAGCCATAGTGGAAAATATGTTCAGTTCTTGAATGATAAATTACCTTCTGTTTGGATCATGGATAGGAAATGTAATGACAATATATTTATCATATTTATAGTGAGTGGTTTCACTAGCTACTATATTTCCTTTCTTAATGCTTTGATTATGCATGGCAAGAGCCAAAAGGTCTATCAGAAACAGATTCTTTATCTACTTCAGGTAAGGGTAAGCTTGCGTACACCAGGGGCGAAGCTATTTTTGTATAAGGGTGGCCAACTGACGACCCTTCACCGAAATATTACGAAAATTCACTATGTATATAAGGAAAATACTGATTTTAGATGTATAAAATATATATTGAACACCCTTTGTTAGGAATTCTTTTTAGTTCTTTCAAGTCTGAACATCCTTGAAAACATTTTTGGCTTCGCCATTGGCGTACACTTTATCCTCAAAGACAGGTCCAAAATTTAAACCCTATTGGTTAAACATTTAAGGTTCTTAGCATTGAACCCGTTATATTTTTAAAGTTATGGGTTCATATATACTATTTTTGTAATTTTAATAAATCTTTACATATAAATTTTACTTCGCGTCGAAAGTTATGGGTTCAAATAAACACGTATTTTCACATACGCTCTTGTCTAGCCTCCCAGGCCCCACTTATGGAAATACACTCCGTTAGTTGTTGTATTTATAATGAATGTCAATGAAAATATGGTGCATGTAGTTTTCACAATCATTTCTCAATTATTGAGTACATGTGGTATTATAATTGTAATTAATTTCTTTTACAATAGGAATGATGTTAGCTTGTGAATCCACTTTCCATCACATAAGTGGAAGGTTCAAATTCCACTCTTGTTATCTCTTTTAATCCACCTTTCATCTCCATATACAATGACAAAGATTTTTAAAATAAAAAATAAAAAATCACCTTACTACTACTTACTAATTCGCTATAAAATCAGCAATCCAATTACAATTTACCTGATCCAAAGTTTAAACGGCGTTACACTAATCCCAAAAGGTATTCTTTTACAAACAATAGATTTTTTTTTTGTTTTTTTTTTAAATTGACTCAAGAATTAATTTCGTGTGATTCATATTAAGCTTGGAGTTTTCTACTAAAAGTAAAATAAAATAAAAATTGATATTTCAAATTCGCATTAGAATTAGACACATTAATCGTCCTAATCCGGGTCAATCAATTAATATTTTGGGACAAAGGAAGTATCTAATTTAGAATTATGTAATTAAATTCAATTTACCATTTGTCTTGCAAAATTTCCCAGTTTAAGATAATAGAAGCACATTCTTCTTCTTTGAAAGAAGAATAAGGTAATTATAATTAACCTCTTTCTTTATCACAAGATCTTCCATTTATGAAATCATTCAAGAAAAGGATAAATAATAAAGTCCAGCAACACCACTTCTTGCATATTCTCTGTACCTATTTTTGCCAGCTTTGCCATCACTTCTTGCACCAAACAACTAATAATTTTAACATTATTTACTGAAAAATGTAACTTATAATACCTTTATATAATTTCCAAATGTGTATCTCTTTGGAAAAATGCACAATTACCCCCCTAACTTATACCCGAAATTTCAACTACACACTTTTTCTTTGGGAGAATCCTATTACCCCCCTAAATTTATTTTAAATGTATTTGCACCCTTAACACTCGCAACCAAACTCTTGGCAAGTGGTGAGCTACACGCGCCCCACCATGTATTTTTTGTACTTTTGTATTTTTTGTACTTTTTTTATACTTTCTTTTTTTTCTTATCCTTTTTTCTTATTTCTTATTATTCTCTTTTTTTTTGTTATTTCATTCTCTTTCTTTTTGTATTGGTCACCGGCGACATAAAATGGTGGTCATCGAAATTTAACAAATACCATTTTTTCCTGCAATTTTTTTTCCAACGATAGAACTTTATCCCGATCTAAGTAT